CTTGCGACGTCCGCTTCAGAATCACCGAGGCTTTTTCATTCCTCGCTGCAGTTGCTTATTGGGCGACCGAACACCAAACGCCAATTGTTATGAAGTGAAGCGCGTTCTGCTCTCATGCTAAAATACTTCTCTTGCGGAAGGACATCTCTATGTTACAGTTCTGGCATCCTGCAGGCGATGCGCGCTAGATAGGAGATATCTTCGCGTGTCACTTCCCTGTCTTGCTTTCCTAGTTCGTTCGTCCCGTCGCGGTTCGCTGTCTGCTGGGCAGTCTCTTGGCCACTGGCTTGCGGATGGACTTCGCAAGCCAGAGGTTCTCCTGTGTTGTCGGGTCCGATTCCGGGTTTTGTCGCTGGCTTGGTTTCAGCATTTTCGTTTTGAGTTCCCGACTCGGTTTCATCGATCGGATACTGAGAGGTCGTGCTATGTATTGTGTCATTTTAAGAGGGAAGATGAAACGACCTCGACTGGCGATCCGGCTCCTGTAAACGGTCGCTGGGTGATTATGATGGCCATTTTTTTAGCAACATCAGATCGACACATTTTGAAATCGAAATAGCCTAAATCATGATATTGTCTTAGCTTTATATAATATAACGCAATGTTTAATAAACGAATGATTGATATATTTCAATGGTAATTCCGTGAAATTACACGAGCAGAATGCGAGTGGAGCCATTTGTGTTTATGGAAAGTGCAGACCTTGTAAAGGTGTCACGCTTATTCTTTGTCTTAATTTTTGTCATGAGTTATAAGCAGTGGGGGAGCACAGGTATTTATGGCGCTGGCATAACTTTCAAAAATAAACATCGCCCTTGGAACGCGGAGGGAGGTTCCCAGCGCGATAGATAATGCGCGAGAGGTTGATAGGTAAGTAGATGCGTTTGTGGAGAGGTAGAAGTAGGTAAGGGAACAGGTTGACGATCTAGGTCAACGGAAGGTTGATAAATGAAGGGAGAGGGATTGATAGGTTGATAAATGAAGGGAGAGGAATGGATTAATAGAAACGATAGGTTGATAAATGAAAGGGGATTAATAGATTGATAAATGAAGGGAGATGGATTGATAGGTTGATAAATGAAAGAGATGGATTAATAGATTGATAAATGAAGGGAGATGGATTGATAGGTTGATAATGAAGGAGATAGATTAATAGATTGATAAATGAAGGGAGATGGATTAATAGGTTGATAAATGAAAGGAGATGGATTAATAGATTGATAAATAGGAGTTGATAAATAGATACACGGAGATAAGTAGATAGTAGATAGATATAAAGTAGGGATGGAATAAGAAAAAAAAATGTGTGCTACTGAGGCGTCCAGCGGGGATGCCAATGAGGCTTTTTTTAATTTTTTTTCTTTCCTTTTCTTCTTCACTTTGGCTTCGCTCTCTGTCTCTTTTCCTTCCGTGTTTCATTGCCTTTGCTTCATCCTGTCACTGAGACACGGGCGGAAAGAAGGATTTGCTGTTGGTATGCCAGGCACAGACATTTCCCTCGATCTTTCACTCTCACTCTCTCTCCTCTTCTTTCGTTCTCTCTCTCTCTCTCTCTTTCTCTCTCTCTCTCCTCTTTTTCTCTCTCTCTGACTTTCTCTCTCTCTGTCTCTCTTTTTTTCTCTCTCTCTTTTTTTCTCTCTCTTCTTTTTCTCTCTTTTTTCTCTCTCTCTTTCTCTCTCTCTCTCTATCTTCTCTATCTTCTCTCTCTTTCTCTCTTCTCTCTCTTCTCTCTCTTCTCTCTCTTCTCTCTCTTCTCTCTCTTCTCTCTCTTCTCTCTCTTCTCTCTCTCTCTCTCTCTCTCTCTCTCTCTCTCTCTCTCTCTCTCTCTCTCTCTCTCTCTCTCTCTCTCTCTCTCTCTCTCTCTCTCTCTCTCTCCCCCTTTGTGTGTGTGTGTGTGTGTGTCTTTCTGTCTGTCGATCAATCTATACTGTACACTCATACTTGTGTGTGTTTTGATTGTGTAACTATTTTGTACATATGTGTGTTTGTGTAGATTTACAGACAGACAGAACACACATACACATACACAACCCGCATGCACGCACGCACATACACAAAACACACTGTGTGCACATATAAATCGTTGAACACAAACACAGTCACGTGTCCACACAAATAGAACCACAGCCACTGTGGCGTTGTTTCATCATAGAAATCGTTCTCTCTCTTTGGTTCTTGTTTCTCGCGTATTTCCTTTCCTTTCCTCTTCCCTTTTCCACGTCGCCCCCCTTCCGCCCCTCACTCGCCGCAGATAACCACTTGGGTCGCATCGAGCACTGGGCGACTCGCTTCGTTCACATCCCGCTGAAGCGTCCATGAGGCGCGGTTTCTATGACTTTCCATCGTCCCTTCGCCCTTATTGCGTCGTCACGGATTCGTTCACTGACTGCACTCGGCGGGGAGCGTCCTTCCGCGGCGCGGCGTGGGTTCCCGGCGAAGGGGAGCGAGGGCGCCGAGGGGCGCGAGGGGCGCAGGCCTACATGTCACAAGCGGCACGTACCATGGCGGCGGCGTCGGGCGTGCGGGCGGGCGTGTAGACTGGCAGGTCGTGGCGTCGGCCCCTTATATACCGCCGCCAGCCTCACCTTCCCTCGCCGCCCCGCCCCCACCCTCTTCGGACGGAGGCTCCTCCGCTCACGCCCCCCGCCCCTCACCCCCCCGCTCCTCAACCCCTCCCTGGCGTCTGGGATGGATCGGCGCCCCCCCGCCCTCCTCCTCCCCCTCCCCTCCCCCGCTGAAATACCTCAGTCGAGGGAAGCCAAGCTTGTCTCTCCTGGCTGCCTCCCCCGCTTTACTGTGGGTTGTGATGTGACTCATATTGCCTCATCGCCGCCCGCTCAGCGCGCCCCCGCCGGGGTCACCCCTCGTGACCCTCGCCGCACGTTTGAGGGCGTGGGCGGGCATGGGTGGCCGACCTGGCTTCATGGCGGGCACCAGTGAGTGTCAGGACGAGCGGCGCCCGGGAGCGGCCGGACGCGGCGTGGCCTCGGGCGTCCTCCAGGCGCTGGCTGGACCCTGGCTGGACCCCTCGCGCTGGCTGCGCCCGACCAGGCGCCCGCCGGCCTCCCTGGCCACTCGGAGCCCGCGCCGCCTGGAGGCCTTTCGACGCCGATGGCGGCTCTCGCTGGAGCGGCGGCAGGCGGGCCAGGCGCCCACGCAGCTGCGTCTAACGACGTGCTATGATAAGGTCCTTTCTTCCGGAGGCAGGGGCTGTCTGGGGGCGCCGCACGAGGGCTGGCGGTGCCCTTGCGCGGCGCCCACCTGCCTCGGCGGCTCCGCCTTCCGTTACGTCCACGTGTCTGTCACGCGAGCGAGGGCGTCGTCTTGGTCCTCCCGCGTCCGTCCCTTCGGCCGAGGGTTCTCAGACGGGATTCCGAAGGGCCCGAGGGGGTTCCAGCGCCCCGCGGCCCTCGGGCTTTGGCCGGTCCTGAGGCCGCCGCCTCCCGCGTGCCGAACCAGGCGGGCGGAAACAACCAAAGTCCGCGGTTCAATCCCGCCGTGTATGCGGTGGCGGTGGCAGGTGTAACGAGGGCCTTAATGACACTCGCACCATTACCGCGACCTGGGCTGACACTCGGCGCTGACAGACGCCGCGCCCGTGCCAGGGAGGGCGTCGCGCAGTGCGTGTGTCCGCACCGGGATCAGAGTACGTTTGCGAGAGAGTGCGCGCATATTGCTGGAGTCATCTACAGGGACGGCCGGGTTTTCTTGCCTGAAATTGAAGCGCACTCACGCGGAGCGAAACCGCTGGCACGGCGGCACAAAAACTCTCTTAATTAGATTTACTTGATGAGGTTTTAGCTTCGAAATTAAACCATAAATCACCTACCTTCGTTCTGTACGCGAGAAACGTGAACAGAAACGGTAATAATCACGGTACTTAGGGAGAGAGACAGACAGACAGACAGACAAAGAAAGAGAGAGAGAAAGAAAGAAAGAGGGGCAGGGAAGAGAAGAGAGAGAGAGAAGAAAGAAAGAGGGGCAGGGAAAGAGAGAGAGAGAAAAAAAAGAAAGGAGGCAAGGAAAGTAAGAGAGGAAGAAAGAGGAGCAGGGAAAGAGAGAGAGAGAGAGATGTAGCCCAGACGGCGCCTTGAGCAAGAGCCTTCCTTCGTTCCGAGAAGAAGGAACGCTCATCGCTTCCGGTTTCTTGGCCGGAAATTCGGACCGGAACCGGGTGGCCGGCTGCCGGGCGGGAGAGGCAGACCCGGCACCGGGCCTTGGCTTCCTGCCTTGCTATCGATCTGTCAATCTGTCTGTTTGTCTGTGTATATAGATATATGAATAATAGATGTATGTATATGTGTATGTATATTTTTCTGTTTATATATATATATATATATATATATATATATATATATATATATAATATATTATATATAGAGAGAGAGAGAGAGAGAGAGAGAGAGAGAGAGTATAATATATATACGATATATATATATATTATATATATATATATATATATATATATATATATATATATATATATATATATATATATATATATATATATATATATATATATATATATATATATATAATATATGTATATATATATGTATATATATATATGTAGTATATATATATATATATATTATATATATATATATATATATATATATATATATATATAAAGAGAGAGAGAGAGGATCTGCCTGATGTCTCGCAAGGCGCTCCCGACGGCGTTCCTCCTCCGAGTCCCTCGCGAGCGAATCGCCAAAACCTCACGAGAAAATGCATCTTAGAAACGCCTGGAATAAGCGAGAATAAACCTTGTGGGAAGAAGCTATAAGGACACAAGACAACAACAAGGCGCCCTCCCTCCCCTTCCCCCTTCACGCCCACATCTTCACACTCCCACGCCCACACAGCCGAGGTTCTTCCTCTCTCCCTCCCGCCCACTCGCCCGCCCCGCCCCTTCCCTCCCCCAGCCGCCCATGCCCCGTGGGCGATGCTCCAACGCGCATTACGGCCCCGACGTAATTGGGTCGCTTTTTTTATTCGGCGAACCGTGTCGGTGCGACCCCGTTGCCCGCGGGGGGGGGGGGTGAGAGGAGCGAGAGAGGGCGGCTGCGCATTATTATTTATGTCTTGCAGTTGTGTTGACGCTGCCACGTGCTCGCAGGCACGCAGGTTGTTCAACCTGCGTGCCCCTTCGGCAGGAGAGGCCGAAATGGGGCTCGCGCTCGGCGGCGCCCCCGCGACCGGCGTCCGGGGAAGGCGCTGCGGAGGGCGCGCCGTCGAGCCGGGAGGGAAGGGGCGCAAGAGGCACGGCGGGAAACGGCGAAGGGACGGCGTGGTGGGAAAAGAAAGAGATCGAATGTAAACAGAATTCCACGACGCTTCGACAGAGAGAAAATAAGAACGTTTCCTCGGGTGAGAAGAGCATCTGTTTGGGTGTTTCAATAACAAAAGGATTTCAAGAAAGTATTCGAGGTCGGGTTTTTTAATGCCCCTTTCACTCTTTTGTTTTACTTGCACCTGTTGTTCCTGACCGCGGCGCCTCCCTCGCGGCGCCTGTGCCGGTGCGGGCGAGAGGGCCCTCGGCCGCCCTCGCGCCCCAAGCACGCCGACCCGCGTCTCGACCCGGTCGGCCGCGGGTCGGCGCAAGGGGCGCTCGGGAGAAGGCGCCGCGCCATCGCCTCTACGTAAAGGAAATAGATAAATAAGGAAAAGGGAAGTAAGGGCAAGGGCGCGAGCCACTGCGCGTCAGCAAAGGGCCGAGGCGAAGCTCGCCGCCAAGGGGCTGGCGTGGCCGGGGCGCGGGAAGGCCTCCAAACGTCCGTTTGGGCTGAATCGGGAGGGCGCCCGGGGGTTGAGGCGCCCTGTCGGTTGTTGGAAGCGGGTGTGACTGACTGCCTATTATTCATATGTTATGTTATGTGTATGTATGTGTGTGTATTTATCTACCTATCTACCTATAGATAGGTAGGTAGATAGATAGAGACTGCTGAGATGAAAAGATAGAAAGAGGGATTAAATAAGAGAAGTGCGGCCCATCCCGCCCACACTCGCCGCCGGGACACTTGGGCAGCAAGAGAAGGGCCTTCCGTCGACGCGCCTCAAAGGGGGTCACTTCATGGCGAGGGCGCCGCCGTCGGAGGGAGAGTGTGTGTGTGTGTGAGAGAGAGAGAGAGAGAGAGAGAGAGAGAGAGAGAGAGAGAGAGAGAGAGAGAGAGAGAGAGAGAGAGAGAGAGAGAGAGAGAGAAGAAGGGAGAAAGAGAGAGGGGAGGGAGAGAGAGAGAGAGAAAGAAGGGAGGAGAGAGAGGAGAGGAGAGAGGTGAGAAAGAGAGAGAGGACAGGGTGGAGGAAATGGGGCTAGGGGGAAAAGTGAAGAGAATCTGAGGCAAGGGTGAAGGGTGAAAGAAATGAAGGGGCAATGGGAAGGGTAAGGAGAGCGTGAGATAGTGCGAGGCGAGTGAAGGATAAGGGTTAAGAGTGAAGGGAGTGTGTGGCTTGGAGGAGGGATGAAAAAAGTGTGGGGATTGGGGTGAAGAGTGAAGGGAGTCAGAGTAAAGGTGAAGGGTGAAAAAGCGTGGGGGGGGGGGGGAGGAAGGGTGAAGCGAATGTGGAATAAGGGTGAGGGACAAGGGTACGAAAAGGGGTAGAAGGAAAGTAGAAAGAGCAAGAGAGAAAGAGCAGAGGAAGAGGAGAGAAGAGGAAGAGAGGAGAGAGAAGAGTGAGAGGAGAGGGAGGAGATGAGAGGAGACGGGAGGAAAGAATGAGAGGAGACGGGAGGAAAGAATGAGAGGAGACGGGAGGAAGAGGGGAGAGGAGAGAGGAGGGAGAGAGGAAGGAGACAGGAGAGAGGAGAGAGGAGACAGTAGAAGAGGGAGAGAGGAGAGCAAGAGGAATAGAGGAAAGAGGAAGAGGGAGGAAAAGGGAAAGGAGACAGTAGACAGGAGGAGAGGGAGAGGAGACAGGAGGAAAGGAGAGGAGAAGAGGAACGGGGGGAGACCAGGAGGAAAGGCAGAGGAGACGGAGAAAAGGAGAGGAGACAAGAGGAGAAGGAGGGAGAGGAGACGTAGACGGAGGGAAGAGGGAGAGGAGGAAAGAGCAAGAGGAGAATAGGAGGAAGAGGGAAGGAGACAGTAGCAACAGGAGGAAGAGGGAGAGGAGACAGGGAGACAAGGAGAGGAGACAAGAGGAAAGAGGGAGAGGAGACAGGAGGAGGAGAGGAGACAGGAGAAAGAGAGGAGACAAGAGGAAAGAGGGAGAGGAGATAGGAAGGAAAGGGAGAGGAGATAGAGGAAAGAGGGCGACGGGAGATGAGGGCGGCGACGGAATGACGATGCGGTCCGACTACAGTAAATGTGATGACGATGGAAAGATGATGATGAGGAGGGCGACGGTGAATAAGGGAGGGAAAAGGGGAAGAAGGAGGAAGGAGAGGGTGGAGGAGGGAGCTGGCTGGGAAGGAGGGTGCGGGAGAAAAGTAGGCCGCAGACAGACATATAATAAGGAGAAGGACAGAATGAGTAAAAAATAGGATAGATTTATTATACAGATAGTATTAAGACAAAACGAAGAG